ATTTAAATTAAATATATAAATAAAACCAGCGAATTTAATAAAAGAAATTAAATTATTGAAATTAATAACTTATACTCCTAGTTGGGTCCCCACTAATATCTCAATCCATCAATTATGAGGGATGCCCACATTCAATATAAACAATTAAAAAATATATCATTTTCCTATTAAATTGGACAATTTTTATTAAAAAAATGCATATTTTATTGTCCATTTGCAAAAAGATTTTTTCCCTCACAAATTCATCCAAAATTTAATGTTTTGTTGATTTTATGGCCATTTGTAAATGTATTTATTGCTTTGCCAACTTTCCTTTTTTAGACCTTTTAGTCCCTCCAAAAAAACAATGAATTATTGAATTTGAATTTGTATTATTAAAAATATTTTTTTTAATTTTAATTATAAAAAATACTCAGATTTCTTTTGTTTTTAATGAATTTTAGGATTCTAATTTTAATTAACTTCTCAATTTTTTATATAAATAATTATTCCAAAAACAAAATATGAATTTTTAATCTAAAGGTAGATTTTTTTTAATAGTTTGTGATGACTATAAAGTAGTATCTGTTTAGAGTTTTCTTAACTAATTGATAACGCGCAAACTTTACAGATATAACTGTTCAAACTCAGGACCTCTAGAAAGAATATTATCATCTTTTATCATTGAAATCATTTGATGGGTTCAATCTAAAGTAAAATTTATAAACAATAGGCATTTTTAACTATATGTTATATTGTTGATCGCGACCTCTAAAATATCAAATTCTTATGTAATTTATATATATATATATATATTATTGATAATTAATTTGACACTTTTTTAATATCTAATATATATTTTTTAAAAATATATCACTTGATATAAAATATTGCGTCTATCCTTAATAATCGATTGTACTAATTATTTTGATATTCTATTGATTATTTTTTAATATTTAAATTTATTTGATTTTATTGAAAAAAAGTCAAATATAATCTTTTGACTAAAGATCATAAATTAAGCAAAACAATTATTGTAGAAGATCATGGAAATGGGGTTTCAGTTTACCAAAAGGGAAAAGGGAGAATCCTTCTCAATGTACGAAGAACCAACACGTCAAATTAGTACTTTCCTTCTTTAGGTTATCCTCTTAATTTCTCCATCAATTCTACCAAATTTCATTTGAACAAGAACTTGTAAAATCAATTTTCATAGCTTTTTTTTTTTTTTTTTTGTATATTCTACCAAATTCTATCGAAAACTGGTTAGCCTAATAGGATGAGACAATAGATCACTTAAGTAAGGTTAGGGGTTTGAATCCCGGCGATTGCGAGTGGAGTAAACTAGGTTGGGAGTGTTGATATTGCCTCTGCTATATTCGATTCGGATTAGTCGATCAATAGATCGGATATCGATGATTATAATTCACTAATTGATTAATCTAGATTAAACATTGCAGATATTTTTTAATAGTCTAAGATGATTACAATGTAGTATTTTTTGTTCAAACTTTCTTAACTTATTGACAACGCACACACCCGTCAGATGTAGCTGCTCGAACCCAATATCTTTAAGGAGAACAACATTCTCCTTTACTATTAAGACCAGTTGATGAGTTCAACATTGTAGATGTTTTTTTTTGTTAATCTAAGGTGTGATTACAAGTCGTATATATTCAAAAGATTCTCAACCATTTGACAACGAAAGCTTAAACCCCTTTGCAGTCTCTTGTATTCAAACTTGGGACCTCTAGGGATAACAATCATTTCTTTAAACACTGAAATAACTTAGTTCGTACAAACATCGTAAATGTTTACTATAAAGTAATCAATTATTTTCATTTATAATAATATTTAATCTCGTTAAACTAACCAATAATTTTTATTATTATACAACATGATGCCTCTAATTAACAAAAATAACATAATAAATATAATTAAAAGCATAAGAGACATGTAGAAGAAGAATATAAAACTAGGCATAAATGCATAAGGTGAAGTGAGACTTTCCCATATCAAAAATGGAAAAAAGTGAGGCCCACATGTTGGGTTTATGGCACACAAGCCTGAGCTGTAAAAACTAAACTCAAAAGAATATATATTAGTGTTGTGTGCCCAAATCCAATAGGTGATGGTCAGGCATATATATATATATATATATATATTGGTAAAATGATAAGGGAAATGTAGAACCAAATTCCCAATCACCAATCTTTGTTTCTTGCCTTTTCTTTTCATGAAATCATTGTTATTGTTACTTGTCTTTATTCCCTTAAATGGAACCTCCAATTTCAAAGGATTAATATTAATGTGGGTATTTTAATTTTTGTTAAAGTACACAAATAGTCCCCGACTATATAATACTACTTTAGTATAGTTTAATGTGGGTATCCTTGTATGTTACCATTTACTAAGTAGTTCTGTCTCTAAGTGGGAGAGTTTGTTTTTCTTTAATAGTATGTGATAATTATAAGATAATATTTGTTTATGATTGTATACACTAAGTAAATGTACATGCGGGAACTTAAGACTTTAAGGGATAACAACACTCCTTTTAGTTAATGAGGACAGTAAACGAGTTTCTATGTGGGATTTAACTTTAGAGATAATAGTATGTGGGCATAATGCCGATATTAGCCCTTAATGTTTTATTTTAGGGCAAAAAGCCCCTCTATAGATAGAAACTTTTAGTTAACACAAGATTGACACTCCGAAATAGGGACCTTTTTACCCTAAAATTAAACGTCCAGGGTCGAAATGCTCCAGAAAAAAAATGAAAGCCAAAGTGACTATTTTATCAAATGTTAAGGGCTTTTTTGCCCTAAAATGAAAGGTTGGGGGATAAAATGCTAAAAAAAAGAATAGGGGTTAAAATGACCATTCAATAAACGTTGGGGCTAATTTTGATATTTTGACAAGTATGTGAAAATGCATCCCTAATAGTGCCCAAATTGCAATCCATGCACAACCCCATAGATACATTAAGTCTCGAATTCAATATCCATCAAAAAGTTGTACGCTAAATTAAGAATTTACTTATTATCGATGATTGTTTAAAATGTGATTGGCTTGCCTTGATTTGTAGTTCTTGGACAGAATAGGGTTGGAATGGAGAGGAATAATAGGGATTTCCTATGCCCGTAATATTGAAAAAAATTCTTAATTTTATTTGATATTGAAAAAACAATATGGAGATGAATATTATTTCAATTATGTCTATATATATATAATTATATTATTTTTTGAAAACAGAACATATATTTTTCTCCTTAAATTCGAATCTGACTCGAGTAGAAAAACTCAACCTAGTAAAATTGGATCAATCGAAATTCGTCGAGTTCGAGTTTAGTAGTTATCTGAATATGAATAAATATAACCCAAAGAGCCCAAATCAAAGCCCAGCTTGGCAAAATCCTAAGATAACTGAAATCTCCTATGGTCCTGTTTCATATGGGTTTGTTTCTCTCAAGTGGATCTTTTCCTTTCTAATAATTTTGGGTAAGATTATTTGAAGAAAATTTTTAAGCGATTGAAAATAATATTTTTTATTTAGATTTAATGTAAAAATAAGTGTCTAAATTATACTTAAAATTAAATTTTGGTGTCTAAAGAATTTTTCGTTAAAAATAAGTTCCTGATATTTTATCTGTTACACTTTTAGGTGTCTATCGTTAAAAAAATCATTAAGTGACGCATATTACATTTATATTTTTTTTTGTTTTTTTTTAAATATTATTTATAAATATTCTTTCTTTTTTTATTAAATCTAAACATGATATGTGTCACTTAACGATTTTTTACGGCATGTATCTAAAAGTGTAACGGTTCAGTCACCTATTTTTAACGAAAAGTCATTTAGGAACCAAAAGTCAATTTTGAGTATAGTTTGGGCACTTGTTTTTATATTAAGTCTTTTATTTATTTTAGTTAATCTAGAGTGAATATAATATAATATAATATAATATAATATAATATAATATAATATAATATAATATAATATAATATAATATAATATAATATAATATAATATAATATAATATAATATAATATAATATAATATAATATAATATAATATAATATATGTTTGGAAAATTAACTATTTGACAATGAATGTTTATATATTCCTTGCAAACGTAGTCTACAAACCTTAAACTTTAAGAGATAACAACAGCCTCTTGATCACTGAGATCGTTTAATTCATTTTAACTTACATTCTTTTTACTCAAGAGATAACAACAATCTCTAGATCACCGGGATCGTTGAGTTATATTTCTTTTTTCTTATATTTTAATAATGTAAAATTAAAACTTATCACTAAAGAGATAGTGCATTAACACTCAATACTTGCCATTTTCACTCTATTGATAATTATGTTTTTTTTAAAGTGAATTTATTTTATTGAAATATTAGTTATGATTTTTTTCAATTTTTAATATTTAATTACATTACATTAATAATAATTAGGAGTGTTTTAGAAAAGATTGATTTTTATATATCAAAATCAAATAAATTAATTTTACCATCAAAATCACAATAATTAACTCAACTAACAACCAGTTGGTTTAGTAGGGTGAGATAATATATCCCTTAAGTAAAATCAGGGATTTCAAACCTGGCGATTGCGAATAGAATAATCTGGGTTGGGAGGGTCGTATTTGCCTCTGCAATACCCGATTCAAATTAATCGATCAATAAATCGAATACCGATAGTTATATCAAAAAAAATAATTAAATCGAATTTCTTCTTAATCAAAACGAAATAACTTAATAAAGATTGTTCTAAAAAAACAGTGAAACTTATAATCGCCTATCAGTGGGATCTACACTAAGATGATCAGATCAAGAAAATAAACGGTCAAGTTCACACTTATTTATATCTGAAATTTGAATCATTAATCGAATACCAGATCATAAATATGGACGGTCAAGATCACACTTTGCCCTCCAGCGGATCCCACGTTCACCAGAATTTGTTTTCTTGTTCGTTTTATTTATCAATTTGTCACTCCCATCCCTAGCTGCACCCATCCTCATTTCTTCGAGATATTTTAGAAGAAAAAGAAGATTTTTTTTCTTCATTTTCTGGTTCTTAATTTTATTCGAAAACAATCAGAACGATGGATGATTACACGAGGGAGATGATGGATTTGAAAACGCTAGTTACCCGAACCCTAGAGAAGAAAGGTGTTCTGGCTAAGATCCGGGTAAGAAAAATGTTTTCTATATTTTTTTTTGGAATTTCATGGTTGGTTCTCGGGAACAAATGTCGAAGAAGAAACTGGGTTGATGAATTTGGCTCTGTTAATTTAAAGTTGAGGGAAAAAATGTCCCCTTTCGTCTTTGGATCTCGTGTTAGGGATAGAAACCTAGGATTTCTTTTTTGAAAATTGATATTTGTTAAAAATGTTTTACCTTTACGAATAATTGAATGTGTAAATTTGATTTTAAGATCTTTGGACCTAAATATTGAAATGCCCCCTTTTGAAAATGTTGATAAAAGTGTGGTTCTTTTGGGGTGGAATTAGATAAATTGGAAATGTTGATTTCCCCCCTTTTGGAAGTTTGAATTTTTTTAAGGTTTTCTCATTGGTATTGTTCGATAAGCTGGTTTGCTGTTAATTTTGTTGAATTGTAAGCCGGAAAGTTTTAATTTCGGATAATTTGTGCATACTTTCTTTGCATTAGAAGCTAGAGATGGAAGAAGAAACTTCTTAATTTGCTGCAGTCTTTAGTATGGGGATTTGCAGAGAAATAGTGTAGTTTTAGGAGGGGAAGCTAAGATTGGTCATTTCCACTGATTGTATAGGGGCAGAATGCAAGATGAGGAAAATATATTGTTGAGTATACACATTTGGTTCAGAACTTGGAAGTTTGTTAGTAAGATATTTCATATTTCTAAAGAAATAGAAGAGAAAGTCACGTCCCAATTTTCAGAAATGTTGAGCCTACTCAATGATGACTGTTGAACTCATTCTCAGATTTTGAACGGGTGTGCCAGATAATCATTTTCCTTGTCTGTCTCTGTTTAGGGCTTGCAATAAGGGAAAAAGAGGGGATTTTTTTTTCTTTTGTGTGCAGGGGTAGGGAATTAGAAGGGGTAAATTACAAGTTTAGTACCTAAATTAATTTTAGTACCTTAACTTTCATTTTTTTCAAAACCATAACGTTTAGTTTTTGTTTCGTTTTAGTACCTCTCTGTTAAAAACTTAACGGGTGATTTGCACATGACACCTTTTTTTATGGGTAAATAGCATCATTCATCACTCAACTATCTTCTCACTCTTTTTTTTTATAGGAAACTATCTTCTCACTCTTATTTTAGTTACTAAAGTTTAATTTTTTTAATTTAATTACTTAACTTTCAAATTACTCCTAATTTAATCACTCTAACTTTCAAATTTATTTTTCTTATTTTTAATTATATATTAATAAAATAATAATAAAATGCCATAAATAAATTAGAGATTAAAATTGGAGCAATTTGAAAGTTGAGTTGTTAAATTGAAATTTTTAAACTTTGTACCAAAATAGGAGTGAGAAGATAGTTGAGTGATGAATGATGTAATTTACCCATGAACAAAATGCCGTTAAAAACTTAACGACGAGGTACTAAAATGAAACAAAAACTAAATGTTAGGTATGATTTTGAAAAAAAATTGAAAGCTTAGGTACTAAAACGGACTAAAATTGATAGTTTAAGTACTAAACACATAATTTACCCCATTAAAAGTGCAGATCTAACTCCTATATAAAAAAAAAAGTGCAGATCTAACAAAGTCATTAGTGTGTTGTTTGTGGTAGTGGTAAGACATATAAGAGCTGAAGTCCATTAATGGTATTATTCTCTTGAATGATTGCTTGTGGGGTATTTTGGAGTGATGGACTTGTTTTTCCATATGTTCTTTTGTTTCTCCTTTTTCTGTCTTATAATGTTAATGTACTTGGTATTTCAATTCACAATCACTTAGACACTTGAATAACTTTCACTTTTTCCATTTATGTCACTCCTAGGCTGAACTCAGGGCAAGTGTCTTTGAGGCAATAGAAGAGGAGGATCGTGTTATTGAAAAAGAAGAAGGTTTACCTCCTGCATTACTGGGAAGTTGCAATGACCGTGCTAAACAACTTCATGCTTCTCCTTCTGGTCAGTCCATTAATTTTAGCCTTTTATATATTGTTATTTGAAGTTATTGGATGGCCTCCTTTGCTGCTGGCCCTCTTTAATTTTGGAAAAGACTAAGCTAGTATCTAGTTTTTGTTTTCTTTTTTCTTCCTTGGTACTGGTTGTTATCTTTTTATAATTGCAGCAGTGTTCTTTAGAGTCTATATCCTATTTGATGTCATTGTTGCACCTCAAGTATAGTCTTTAACCATTTCATTTGTGAATCGTGAACATGTTTTCATGTTGCTTTTGTTTTGTCTCCAAAATCTTCTCTAAATCTCACTTTTGTGATGTCCTAAATAATGTGCACCTTGTATTTCCAAATGCAGGAAGATTGTTAACTGCACTAGTATGCGAGTATTTGGATTGGGCACAACTAAACCATACTCTGAAAGTTTATCAACCTGAGTGTAATTTGGTAATCAAGTAATTACCCTTTTATCATAGTTTTGATCATTTCTTTATAGTTGATCCTTTAATTGGTTTAATTTCTCTGAAGCTTACATGTGAATCATTTTGATATTTGTCTTCTTTTACATGTAGCAAAAAGACTCTTGGAAAACTGAGTTGAAAGACTTTAGTGGCAAAAATGGTTATGATCTTAACAGAAATGGAGATAGTGGACCCTTGCTTCTGGATGTTCTTGAAGGTTTCTTGAAGTTTGAGGTTAGATGATCTCTTTTGTATATGTTTCATACTACGGTAGGTCTTTGACTTGTGAATTTTAAGTCATGTTAGTGCATCTGACTTCTGAAGCTTGTACACTCTTTTGTGTGCTCTTTTGCTGTGCTAAGTGTTATTTGTAATCCTATTTAATGTGTTGTGAATGATGATAATTCTTTTAGACCAAGCGTTAACTTGCCATTGTTTGGACTTTGAGTGTTCTCGTATAACCTACCTTTCTTCTCTGGTTTGATGTCTTTTTAAGATAGCTGATTTGACAAGATGGGCCATTTCTGAATATCCTGGAATGAGTTGAAGGTATGAATGTTGAATACTGTGTGGAGAAGGATGGGTTTTACTGTAACCTGGGGTGCAGAAACAGGTTTTGGGTGTTGTTTCTGTAAAGGAAAAAGAAATTTGCGGGCCTGTCTTTTGTTTGGAAATGGCACTGCAAAATTTCAAAAATTGATTTTTAGTTAACTTAAGATTAGTTTTAAATTATTAAAGTAAACTACTATATATATTAAGAAAAATTAACCATTTGTTTTTCCTGCTATTGATATTCACAAATCACAATAGAGCAAGATGTAATGATCATTATAACTATGACGCTTGCACTTTGCAGATAGATTCATCAACATCAAAGAAAAATAGTGAAACCTGTAGTTTTTTTTTTGTAGAAGTTGGAGGTCTCATTAAAAACTCCCTTCGTATTCGTCCACACACTAAGAAGTATGTTAACGAACATTGGAAGGAAGAAAAGAGTACCTCATATTTTATTAATAATAATACCCAATACCTGAGAAAACACGGAATATCCTCCTATGGTGATATACACCATTACAACAAACACCTTAAACTCTCACATCCTTGACCAAAAACACAATCGACAAATACCCTATTTCAAAGATACACCTCCAGCATTAGGATAGCAAACAACTCAAAATAACATAATACCTGTAGTTGTATGTTGCTTTATGCTGGCAAAGCTATTAAATGAACCAGGGGAAGGTTTTTTAGTTAAGAAAAAAAGGGAATGAGACTAGGGGAACAATTGTTGTATGTCTTCGGTGTTGAACATGATCTTTGACACGTGTAATGTAGCATGGAAAATTATATCAATGACAGTAGTTTTGAGTGTGACGAGTACAATAAGGTGAAGGACTAGGTTTCATTATGTTCCACTTCTAAGGAAACCCTGGTTGGCTTGAGTGAGAAGGGTCCTTGTACCCTTTAACAGGTGGACCTGGATGTGTGAAGCTAAAACTGATATCAATCAGGACTATCCTAGCACTTGGGACTTGAGGGTTTCTTTTTAAGGTCCTGAATATGAGGCTTTACTAAGAACTATCTATTTTCTTATATTGTAAGCATCGAGTTTCTGCTTTCTTCATACCAGGGAGAGTTTGACATGTACAGAAGTTGAGATTTGATTGATTCATATCACCAAGTTTTGAGTTTGTATTTGTTAGTTAGATATATGCAATGTTACCCTACATCATGATGACATGTTTTCGTATTTAAATGTTGTTCAAATAATTTATACATGTGGAAAACATGCTCATGGCTACCAATCACATTTTTGTCAGAACTTATCCCGATCAAGAGGAACTGGAAGGAGATCACACGAAATTGAGTCTTCATCTAGTTCAGAGAATCGCAACACAAGAAGACCCTCATCATCTGCTGTTGCTGGGGGCTTGCCTCCATTAGGCAGGTGATGGACTAATGCCACATCCTGCTTCTTCATCTTTATCGTTTCTCATTTTGCTTCATAATACTGCTAAAAGCTGACTATTTTTAGCATTTTTATGACAGGCCGGTCTCTGTTTCCCAGTCATCTGGTAAAGTGATTACCTTATATGTTGTTTTGACATTTGCATAACTACTTGAATGTTGTTTCCATCATCTGATAACTTTGGCATATAGATAGGAGAGCAGGCTCCTCCATGTCTGGTTACAGGAAAGATGAGTATAGTTGGAGGTATGATGATGATCTCTCAGAAGATGTGATTCGAACTTCAACTGCCCTTGAAAATCTTCAGTTGGACAGAAAGGCCAGAAATTTAACTTCTTCTTGGCGGTTTGTCTCTCAACCCTGCTAAAAAGAAACTCTGCCTACTGGTTTGATATTTACCAGGAATTAATATGAAACCTTGGCATCACACACCTTATAAAGCTTTTAGGTGAAATTTCCACTTGATGAGATTGTTCTGATATTAGGCATGAAGATGAATGTTTCATCTTTCGTTCCCCAGCGTTATAATATATTGCTTTTTTATCCAGTAGTAGGAAGACGAAAGCATCTCTGAAACCTTGGATCACTTGGTATTTATTTATTTATCGGATAAATTTGAAATGAGGTTGTCGTAATGAATAATGCTATTTTAAATTGTGTAAAACAAGTCACCTTAGTCATATAGCCTATGTTGATTGGAGGATTCGTGTCCGGCACTCGTAGATATGACCTCCTAGGATCATCCAAATATATTGAAAAATTTAGAAAAATCTAGCCATGCCATTGTCAGATACATACCCATGCCTGTCACTTAAACCGAATCCTATAAACCATAGAAATATACTATCAGTATTCAGTATTTACATGTATATGAAATAGCTAAAGTTGTGTCTGCTTAATTAACTTGGCTACAGGCATGCTGGGGATGGAATCAGTGGGGACGACGATAAGGTTGGTCATATGTAGCTGAATGACATGTATCCCATTCCGGCAAAGCCTAGTTCGGTTTCTGTTTTGGAGTTTTTCACCCATAAAAGTTCTTCTTAACTACAAAAATTGGGCAGTGAAGTTATCGTGTAAGTTTTTATATCTATATATGTTTGTGATGTGATTTAGGCCATATCTTTTGAGCATTATTTGCTTTATGGATCCCTTGTGGGCAGACCTTTCATTGCATTTTTCAAGTTTTTGCTTGGATTTAGATTAAACTATGTTTTGCAAGCTGAGATGTGTATGGTTGTTGGTTAAATCTTTTGATGCACATGGATCCAAAATTTGATGTTGTAGTAAATTATGCATTTAGTGGCAAAAGTATCGGTTTTAGTCCATTGTAGTACCTAAACTTTTAATTTTTTTAAAATCATACATAGAGTTTAGTTTTTATTTTATTTTAGTACACCCTTTTAAAATTAACCGTACTAAATGCGTAGTTTAAGTTCTAATCGCATTAAGTTTTTAACGGTGAGGTATTAAAAATGAAACGAAAATTAAATAGTAGGCGTGTTTTTGAAAACAAATGGAAGTTTATATATTAAAATAGATCAAAATTGATAGTTTATGTACTATATGTATAGTTTACCCTTTATTTTAAAATAATTTAATAAACATGTAGTTTTGTCAAGAGTTATTAATAATCGAGCTTAGCTTAGTGATTGAGTTCTTGTTTGCCCTTATCTAAGATTTTTATTTATTTATTTATAAATAAGATGTCATATCAAAGTTTTTAAATTAGATCAAATTGATAGAATGTATAAATTTTGAGATCAAAATTATTATCATATAATGTCCCGTTATCGTTTCGTTAAATCAATGATCAAATCTACCGAGCGACGTTTAAAATAGAAAGAAACGTTAAATATGATTTACCAAATGAGTGACCAAAATATAAACATTTAAATACATTTTGGACTTGCTTGTACTGAATAAGACTTCATATTTACTAATCAATTAATCAACTAACTGTTTGTTGAAGAGATTCCATTAAAAGTAACTTTTGAGTGGAAAAACATCATCTTGGATGAATGGGGTCTTGGATAAAATATTGAGGCTGAGTTTTGGATGGAAAGTTTTGAAAAATACCTTAAAATAATTTAATTAAAGTGATCAAATATTCATAATAATAATAATAATAGTAAATTAAACAATTAACGTGGATATTTTCTTATAATCATTAATACAAAAAATAGTCGCTTAAGATTACATAAAAACCATAAAATCTAACAAAAAAAACTCGAACAAAAAATAGGTATGGACAAATATGATTGCATCAGGAAACGAACCAGAAAAGGGGATCAAACAACAGAAAGATCACCAATTAGCTATAAATTAATGTCGAGCGAAGTGAAAATATATCCACAAACATAAATCTTGTATCCAAATCATATTCGAGAGTCTAAAACAGGGAATACCCACATTATAATAAATAAGTCTCGATTAAAGTCACTTTACGACATTCACCTCGACTAAGTGGGGACATTTTATTATACATCTGGAGATGATATTCGGAAACCTCCCCGTCTACCAGAACCTCCAACTAGCTTACATACCCTAAACATGGACTTCTAGTTTACTACATCACATAGACAATATCTCTAACAAACAGGTCCTTTGACATGCCCACATGATATGTCAGAATAAAATTCAAAATTTAACCATTAGATCTATCTAACTTGTCGTCGTACAAATTGTTATGATGACCCTATGATTGACACACAAACTAAAGATCACTATAAGTACTCCAGTTAAGACTGGAAAATGGGATGAACCACTCACAACCGATTCATCTCATTTTTTTCTTATGGCAATCTATTATCTCTTTTCTCTGGACATCGACTAACGACTATTCTCTCATCTGCTGCAACTCTTTGCCCAAATCAAAAGGGGTAAACCATCTACTGTTGACGAATAAAACTTATTCCATCAACAAACAATTTGTTATACCTCTAGAGATGATCTCCAGAAACATCTCCGTCCATTATAGCCTCCAACTAGCCTAAATCTCCTAAACACACATTTGGTCAACTACAACACACAAGGTCGTATCTAGGGGTGAGCCTACCTAGGCCATGACCCACCCCATGCCCTAAAATATCAAATATATATGTATATAATTTAAATAAAAGTACATATAAATTATGTTTTTAAATATATATTTTTTAGATTCATTTTAAATATATAATTATTATGTTTTTATATTGAAAAATATATAAAATTACGTTTGATAAATTTTTAGGCATATTGTCCAAATTAGTCCCTAACATTTTCAAAATGATCATTTTGGTATCTATTCTATTTTTTTAGTATTTTAGCTCCTAACGTTTTATTTTAGGGTAAAAAACATATAATGTTTGACTGAATTGTCACATTGACACTTTTTTTTAGAGTATTTAGGCTTCCAATGTTTACTTATAGGGAAAAAATGAATCTTATTTTAAAACGTCAATAGTTTATTAACTAATGTTTTCCATCTACGGAGGAATTTTTATCCCAAAATTAAAATTTTGGGGGCTAATTTAATATTGTACAAAAAATTTCTTATTTTATATTGATCCACCCAATAAAATTTTTTATGTATTCGTCACTGACAATACAGATAAAACTTTAACAAACAAGTTCTCTAACAGGCTCACATGATGCATCATAACAAAATTTAAAATCCGACGATTAGATACACCTGAATTATAGACTAATAAATAATAATTTACTAAATTTATGAACCGATTATTTGATATATATATATATATATATATATATATATATATATATATATATATATATATATATATATATATATGAACGTACATTCATGTATCATATTTATGACGTAAATTAGATTTTATATAAAAGTAAATAAAATGAGAAATTAAAATAGAAATCCACGTGGCGAACTTAAAACGTCACGTCGTCCACGTTTCCTCGGTGGAAGGACGAACCCCGGTTTCGCTTTAAAAGGCTGCTCAAACGGTCAAACCCCACGGCCGATCAATCCCTTACCTTTCCCATGGCGGTTTTCAGCCGTTGCTCCAGAGCCGCCACGGCTGCCAGAACGCCGAACGCCGCCGCTTCCGCCGCAGCATTCTCTTACTTAATTCGACCTCTCTCTCATTCCTTTTCCTCCTCTTCTTCTTGTTCTTCTTCGACTTTTGATCCCGAAATTGACATCGGCCGTAATAAATCAGCCGGTTTGGGGACCCTGAAGAGAGAACCGAAGGGTAGAAACGTCCAGTGGGTGTTTTTAGGGTGTCCCGGCGTTGGCAAAGGAACGTATGCTTCTCGGTTGTCGAATCTTGTCGGTGTTCCGCACATCGCCACCGGTGATCTCGTCCGTGATGAGCTCGCTTCCTCTGGTCCCCTTTCTTCTCAGGTCCAATCTTTTCTGTTAGGGATTCGTCTTTCATTTTTGTTTTACAAAAAGTTTAGTTTAACCTCTCGACACGTTTCCAGGCCAAAAACGGTTTGTTTTTACTGAATGCATGTTGAACAGAGGATATATATATCACCGATTAGTTTAACTCGTTTGATCTACTTTGATCTACTGCTGTCTAGAGAATTCAAGGTTCAGTTTTCTTTTGAATGATTAAAGTTTAAAAGTTTTCGATTTGTAAATAAGAGAATGCGTGAATTTCTTATTTAGATCATTCTATTCAAATCTATGTTAAATTTTAACTTAATTAGATCCGTCTGATAAACGCTTTTTTAGCATTAAGTAATCTTGTCCGTGGAGTTTGATTGCTGCAATCAGAAAACAAGTAACATTGATGACAATCGAAATGCTGATGCGGACTCCCGGAATCCGACGATATGTTTCGTCGATCCATGAAGTTCTTATCAGCATTTTATACAGTTTTTCATGAACAGTGGTGTCAATTTTGTATTTCCTTTTGATTTAAGTAATTTGGTTTTTCGACTTTGATAGCCGTCAACAAAAACCAAGTAACTTGATAAAATTGTTGATGGAGAACCATCTAAATGCTCATGTGAACTCTTGAAATCTGACAACACAAACCCATAAATAGAACTTATCATTAAGAACATAAGTTTTGTCATATTCCTGGGGTTCATGTCAGCATTTTAGATGGTTTTTTGTTTAAATTGTTGTCAATTATGCTTGTTTGCATCAAATATGAAATATCAAATACAGAGCAGATTGCCTTTTTTACCATAGTACAAAGACTAGAGATATTTAATCTTCCTTTTTATTATCAACCTGAACAATAGCAAGTAGTAAAAGCTAAAGGAGATTGTTAACCAAGGTAAATTAGTTTATTAATAAATTTGTTGAGGGATCTTTGGATTCCTTTTGGAGAAGTTTAACTGGTTTTTTCTTTTGTTTCGATTTGAAGATCGTGATCGGAAAGAAATTGAAGTTTATCTTTTTATAAACTTAAATTTACTTTCTTTTACTATTATACACTTGGCAGCTAAAGGAGATTGTTAACCAAGGCAAATTAGTTTCAGATGAAATTATAATAGATCTACTTTCCAAACGTCTTGAAAAGGGAGAAGCTAAGGGTGAAATGGGGTTCATTCTTGATGGTTTTCCTCGGACAGTAAGACAAGCGGTAGGTGCTTCATTTGATAATTTTCTGTAATATTTTGCTTCCAGCTAAAGTTCAATTTAACTTTACTACAGGGAAATAAGAATGTTAGTGAAGGCTGTGTTTAAAGAAATTGTAGGAAAAATACATGCATTGGGTACTGGATTTTCCCCTTTGTATAGCGATTACCAAAGGTTTTGCTAAAAGCGTGTGTAAATTCCAGTCCCTGTTGGTTTCAGAAGCATCTGATAGCCTTGGTTATTTACTCGCACGAGACCTGGCAATTTGTGTTTCCATGTCATATTCGTGTGTTCGTGTTTTATACAGATTGTGACATTTTTGTGTGTCGTGTTTCTTTTTCACGAAGTATATCGTATAATGTCCAGTATTTCCAGGTTACATTTATGCAACTAGATTGCAACTTCTACCTATGTTCTCAATGACAAATAAATTTGCCACTGATGACCCATAGTAAGTTAGATAGTCGAGAATGCTTTTCTTTTTGTTTGGTATACACTCTGAAGAACAGCATCTTATCACAACACGGCATGCCGAGTCGCTGATTTCATACGGTCGAAGTTGCTATATTGTTAGCAGTTTTTGTTTCACCAAATTGAAAGGTTATTACCTTGTTAATCTCTAACAATGTAGTCTACTATTTCATTATGTTTGTTTCCTAGGAAATATTAGAGGGTGTGACGGACATCGACCTAGTGATTAACCTGAAGCTTCGGGAAGAAGCATTGCTTGCAAAATGTCTTGGAAGAAGGATTTGTAGTGAATGTGGAGGAAACTATAATTTGGCTTCTATCGATATCAAGGCCGAGAACGGGAGGCCCGGGATGCACATGGGTTCACTTCCTCCTCCTCCTGAATGTGCATCCAAGCTTATTACTCGACCTGATGATACCGAAGAAGTCGTTAAGAACCGTCTCCGCATATACCAGTCAACGGTATTTCTCTAAATTGCATTCTTGAGAATTTAGTTAACCATCCATGTGATTTTTCGGGTTTAATCCTGTTTCAAACATTACTAGAAATAATCTATCCGTTTGATTCAAAACCCTATGATCCTAGAGCTGTGGTTACAGGGGAAAGAATTGCCTGATGCATTACAAATTTTTATTTTCACACAGACTCGACCTGTAGAGGATTTCTACCGCATTCGTGGGAAGTTGTTGGAATTCGATCTTCCGGGAGGAATCCCGGAGTCGTGGTCGAAGCTGCTCCGAGCTTTGAATCTTGAAGATCACGGCAACAAACACACTGCAGCCGCATGACGTGTATGATCATTTGAAGTATTTGCAGGTAAATTTGGTCATTCTTTGCATGCATATCTATTTCATGAAAAATGAAGAAAATCCGACAAGGAAGAAAGAGAAAAACATTGAATTTTGGTATCCATAAACGATGTAATTATCGACGTGTCGAAATTAGATATTGACACATGGCTAGACCCTATTGGTTCACGTGTCACGTCATATAAGATCAGAACACCATTAGAACGAACAAGACTATTATATCAATAACGAAATTCAACCATTAAACATTACATCTGACACTTGGAGAGTGGAGGGGTCACTTTAGAACAAACCCCAAAGAACAGGTCGTCATCCCCACGTCAGGGACTATTTTGATACGTACATGTAGGTGCTAATTAATTCACACGATCAATGAACATTATTCACATGGTTATGGGAATGAAGTGTGTGCATAATGGGGAGGCAAGTTCTCCTAATCCCACGTCCTTCTCAATTAGGTCACCGGAGACGTTGAACTGATCCACAATAACATCTGCGTGTAATTCGCTCCGATTTCCCTCCGGTTTGCTCCCCCAGATCTCCGGTATCACTCTAGCCAATTTCTTCACTTCCTCTATTGCATAATCCGCTTCCTTTGTTTTAGTTGTATTCCCAACCTTTTACACACCAAATATTCAGATTAATTGATTTTGCAAAAACCACAATTTTAATTTATTTTAAAATGGAAATTACCAGACAAGTCCAGAGGCCCATAGCCTTTCCAGCGGATATGTTCCGAACATTGTCATCCAGAAACAGCTGCGACAAAATAAATAATTTAAATAAGAAAGACGACAATAATTTAAAGAGATTATATATATAAAAGATTATTATATATATATATATCAAGGTGTTGGGACCATCGTTTTTTTTAATATAAATTTTAAATTATTATATGGTTTAAAATTTATCGGATAGATTAAATGATTAAAATAAAATATTATTTTTCTTCGAAATTTTAAGCAGTTATGTTTGCAGGATATATGTATTATTAATAACTTAGAGTAATTATGAGCATATATTATCTTATTTTGACAAGCTCATACTAATAAAAATATCATATTATTTAAGTATTTTGTATATTTTTTTGATAATTTAATTTCGTAACTCCTCAAATTTATAATTTTGCGTCACCTAAATCTATATTATAGCTTACTAGCACAAATAAACAAATATCATAAAATCCTCCTGGACGAATTTTGATATTATCGCATGTATTATTTATAATTTAAGACTAAATTTTTAAATTTAAGATCTAAATCCTTAAATAAAATACATTGTAATATTAAAATCTCGTTTATAGAATATTTACTTTTTTATATCGGTATATAGAATAATAACTCTTATATTTAATTTTTTATTAAAAAAGGGAATATTACTGTGCGTCGAGGATCAACACGGGAGACGTGGAGAGCAATTTTGAGGGCCTCTCTCGAGGGTTTGAGAACGACGGGGAATTCATCGGGACGCTTTGATTTCGTGAGATTAGGGTTCAGTGTCTCGAAACTTATGATCTGATCGAAACAGTCTTCGATTCCCAGCCTCCTCATGACCTTGATCGCATGAACCCTATCCGAATTCGTAAATATCTGCAATCACATCCACAAAATATCTTCTCTAAATTCCAGGCTTCAAAAGTACTAATTCATTTCGACGGTTTTGCATGTAACTTACGACTTTCCTTTGGGTGATGCTGCGCAGCATGTTGCGTAGCTGGGGGTCCGGCTTGATCACGTCGTACGCCAATCTTCCGTGGACGAAACTGCCAATCAAGAGCAAAGTCAAACCTTGTTTTTCATCCAATCAAATGCCGTTTTTATTCGAGTTCCGATTCGATTGATACACGATATAATTTTTTGTGTTTTTTAAATCGTTGGATTAATTGAAATTTTCGATTATTCAATTTCAGTTGGTCAATAATCTAAAAATAAAAAAAAAATATATGTAAAATTTAAAAGTTCTATTTACCTGTGGTAATCATCGGCATCGATGTCATAGCCTAACGCCTGCAGAAAATGATTTTAAGCAAAAAAAAAAAATTAGAATTTTATCTGCAATTATTCCAAACAATTTAAAACCGAAAGAGACGAGTTCGGTAATTACTCGTAAACCGGCGAGGGTGCTGCCGTACGTTTTGAAGAGTTCCACTCTGAGATTCGAAGCTTTCGTCGCCGGAAATCCACATTTCTCAATTAGAAAATCTGGAGACACAATTAGAGCAGAAAATAATTTACGATTTTCTCAATAAGTAGCGAATTCCGGAGAAATCTACGAAATGAGAATCACGAACCGTCGATGTTTCTCTTGACGCCTTGAGCTAATCCAGTGTTGGAAGGATAAAGAGTATCATCCAGATCTGTTAAGAATCAAAGAAGAAAAAATCCACGCCGAGAGATCAGAAAAGGAATTTGAAACGGAAATTTCGAGTAAAACAAGAGAATGATAAGGAAGAAAGAACTTACCAAACAAGATGCAATTGAAAGGAGAATCCATATGATGAAAACAAAACAGATGAAGGCAGAGAGAATTCAGAGGGAAAAATGAAGATTTTGTAGAAAGCTGAAGCAAGAAGACAGAGATTCCGAGCAAGGAGGCTTCGAACGAAGGAATTTATAGAAAATTCAAAAACCGTGAATAATATAAATATATATATTAAGATAAGGACAGGTTGGCTGTTGCTGACTCAGAGCTCAAGCATTATATCAAGTAATATAATATAATATAATATAGTTTTAAGGGTTTTTTTAATTTTAAAAATAAAATTGTTAAAATTTTATACGTTTTACACGTGTCAAAAACATTGAATTTAATGGTTGTAAACATTTTTATTTTCAGGGTAAAGAACAAAAATAGTCCCTGATTATAGGGTATTACTTTATTAAGTCTCTCAATTATTAAAAGTTACAAAATGATTATTCGACTAGGGAGTGTTGCTTTGTTAAGTCTCCGACTATAGGGTATTACTTTATTAAATCTCTCGACGATTAAAAGTTACAAAATGGTCCTTCGACTAAGGAGTGTTGCTTTGTTAAGTCCCCAACTATAGGATATTACTTTATTAAGTCTATCGACTATTAAAAGTTACAAAATGGTCATTCGACTAGGGAGTGTTGCTTTGTTGAGTCCCTCGACTATTGATCACCTGACTGTTTGTTATGTTCCAGACTCGTCCTTTTACGTTAAAAAATTGACGGTTGTTTAAGCTAGATGTTAACATGGTGACTGAGATATGATAATTGTTTGAGATTTTGAGATTGAATTTTATCATATCACAGTAAACAAGTTAATGTTCAGTTAGAATATTCTCTATTTTTTAACGAAAAGGGACAAGTTTTAAACATAAATAGTCAGACGACCATTTTATAACATTTAATAGTTGAGAGACTCAATAAAACAATAATCTATAGTCGAAGGACCATTCTGTAACTTTTAATAGTGAGTGACTAATAAAGCAATACCCTATAGTCAGAAATTTGCGTTCTTTAACCTTATTTTTAATAAAATTTTGTAAGCACATAAAATTAATTTAGGCTATAATTTAGACATTTATATTTTCATTAATCTTTTTTTTTGCACTTTCAGTTCAAATTTTTGCCTTGACTAATCCCGGATCAATCTGCGTCGCTCACCTGGTTTTGGTGGATAAGTCTCCCAGTATGAATTTTCTGCATACACAAGAACTCGAACTCGAGACATTACTTAAACGATATTAAGCTGTTTACCACTTAAATCAACTCTGTTGGTATATTTACATTAATCCTTTAATTTGTAATAAGTTATTTCTCATATTTTACAGAAAAAAAAAACAAAAAAAAAACTATTTCTTCCGTTACCGAATGTTTAAAAACAAATTCTTATTTTTTTTATTTACTATATATATTACTAAATGGGGAAATGTCTAATTATATAATTATATAAAATTCTTTTAATTTTATATCTTTTTAGGACTATTGTATAAAATTAGAGGCTGAAATTAACAGTAAAAATAAGAAGATGTTCATTTTAAATAAAGGGTTAATCTCAGTATTTAATTTCCTGCAATTCAGCGATTCGAATAAAATATAAAATTAAAAGAATTTTATATCGTATAAGTGGATTTTAACTCTTATTATATTATTATTACTTATTCATTTATTACATACGATTAACTTTGAAACCAGTAAATTAACAACCAAGTTTGATTCGATTATTTAATTAGACTAATATTTATTTTTTATTAAGCATAAAGATATAATTCTGACAAAATAAAATATAAATTATTATTTTTTGGATTTATAAATAAAAGGAAGAAATTCAGAATTAAACTTTTGAATTTACATATCAAACCGAGTGAGAGTAGAGGACCCACGCGGTGTCCTTTCGAAACCGAGGGACATTTTTTATGGACGAAAATGCCACTAATCTCAAGTTTTTATATGATATCGCTGGACATTATTTAAATATTATTTCATTAGTTTTACAATTTTATTACATTTGACATATTATTTTATTAAACTCAAAATTTATTAATTTTTTTAATTTTATGTAAATATCGGATTTTATCATTAAAGTAATTTTTTTAAGCTTTTCCATTTTTATCGAATAAATAATAAAATCTCAATTTATAGAAAAAAATTCAATAATAAAGTAGCCTTTGGAGATACTAAAAAATCAGGTGAGGTGATTTTGGTAATTTAGGTAGGGGCCCTTGTTCTTTACCTTTGTGAATGCAGGAATGGGTATTGATTATTGAAAACGTGGCTTTGAAGCAGCATGATGAGAATTTCAAATTTGGCACGTGATATTCATTTGCAAAATATAGTTAAATAAAAAAATTAACATCACCGACATGTTACCATAGAATAATATTACATTATTATTTAAAACATTAAAAATTAATGTTAGTAGTTATGTTAATTTTTTAATAATAGGTGACCAAAATAAAATTAAAACATAATGTTAAGTATGATTTTGAAGAAAATAGTTGAGTAATCAAAATGGACTAAAAGTAATAGTTGAGGGTATTAATTATGTAATTTACCCATTAAAATATTTACAGTTTTTTTTACAAGATAGTAGCTGCTAGTTTTATTAGAGAAAATATTCAAATTATAATAAAAGTTTACAATCACATCCATAAACTAAACACATAATAATGATATTTCCCGATAAACATTAAGGCTTATAACAAATAAATACATAAAGTATATTATTTTTATCATTTAAATATTTAAAGTATTTTTTTTATCAAAATAAGTACCTAAAGTTATCTTTTTGGTCAAATTAGATACCTAAATTATTTTTTGATCAAAATAGGTACCAAAAGTATTCAATTTTTTAATCTAAGTAACTAAAGTATAATTTAATTAATGTCACATGTCAACTTTTTTAGAACTTAGCTGAATTTTTTTGAATAGTTTAGATACTTATTTTGAAATAAAATACTTTAGGTAATTATTTTTACCAAAAAATAACTTTAGGTACTTATTTTGACCAAAAAAATACTTTATGTACTTAAATGAAAAAGTGGGTATAGTTTAGGTACTTATTTGAGATTTAAGTCAATCATTAATACAAGAAACTAATCACTTAATATTACACTAGGACTATATAAGGAACAAGTTAAAAAAACCTAACCTAATAAACAAAGAGCAACAAGTCAAGCAACAAGTTTTTTTTAATGAGCACGAGTCGAGCAAAATTTTATCAGCTTAACGAGTAACAAATCGAGTCGAATAATAAATTTTTTAACGAACATGAGTCGAGCATTACTCAACTCGTGATTGACTCACTCAATAAACACCCCTATGTACGTACCTAGTAGCACTACAAAATCAAACCAATAGCTTATGGTATTTCGCATTATCAAATTAAGCCGATCTCGGGTCCTACATAATCTACAGACGTAACTCTTAACTAGGAACATACACAGGATATAATGTTAGAGGGGAAAATTTATAAAATTTTAAGAAATAAAAATATCTTATTAATTAAAAATACAAAAAAATTAAATTATATAATAATTTAAAATTTTCAATGTACGACTGTCCTCCCATTTTCCTTGTTACATAACGCTCATATTAATGCATATATGCATAGTCACTGTTCTAAGAGTTCAACTAAGAATGATTATACTGTAAATGGAGGATTAAGAAATTTAGTTTGATGAGTGTGGCTACAGCCATGTTTGTTCCCCGTGGAATCCATTTGAACTGAACTTCCCATTCTCATCGGCAGAGATTGGAGATAGAGCGAACCAGGGAATGAGAAGCATCCAGATGTGAGTTTGCCCGAGTTCACCGCTTCGAGGCAGTCCGTTTGAACTACGACTTTATCGAAGCAACGATTCCTAGCAGCTAAGAGACCCATATATATACCCCACAACTCCGCCTGAAGCGAGGAGCAGCAGCCTGTAGATTTAATGTAGCCAAGGATCCACACACCAGAACTATCTCTGATGATTCCTCCAGCGGTACTGCGTAGATTATCACTCGAGACGGCGCCATCTGTATTAACAGAGACCCAACCAGGAGGTGGTTTATACCACTAGCTGGCACGGAGATAGCAAAGGCTAGGACCAGATCTTCGGATGGAGGAGGAAGTAAAATGCCTGCCCATGAAAGAGCAGCAATGGAAGTACCGTCTGTCGATTTACATTCCCAGTCTTGATGCGAGTTCGTGAGGTATAAGTTGCCAAGGATCCATGATTGCAGATCAAGAGAAAAGAAGGAATACCTGTGTGCAGGAGAAAGGAGACAGTGCCAAAGATTGCGGGTCTCCTCACAGTCGCGAAGGACATGAAGGATAGACTCCTCTCGACCACACAGAGGGCACGACGGATCAGTCGTAAGATGACATCTCGTATGCTCAAGATTTGTCATAGTACGGTTATGAAAGACCATCCGAAGGAAAACCCGAATTCACTGAGGAACTTGGAGCTTCCATATCATATTCCATGCATTAGAGGTCTCATGCCATAAAGCGGCAGCAATGGTATCATAAGCGGATGAAATCGAGAACATGTGTTGAGTTCCCATCGCCAGATACATCGATGGATACTGCCATCATTTGGAGGGGGCATAACTCCAGGAACATGATTGAAGGCGTTTGGATTTAGAAGGGAACCAAGGAGGTCCGAGTTCCATTTGCCATCCTGCCTCACAAGACCGGCAAGGCTACGTTGGGGAAGGACTTGATTTGGTGGCTGAATGTGATTCCGAAGAGTGTCGAGGCTAGGAATCCAAATATCATCCCAAACTTGAATAAAAACACCATTTCCAATAGACCAAGCAATAGTATTTCGAAAAGATGGCCATAAATTCGAAAGGAAGCGCCATAAGAGAGAGCAAATTTTTCGACTGATTAAAAGAGAAAATAACTTCGTTACCTTATATTTCTGGCGAAAGAGCTGAATCAAGTAGGCAGACGGATTAGCAATTAAATTGAAACACGCTTTCATTAGAAGAGCTTGGTTCTGTTCATGGATGCGGCGAATACCCAAGCCTCCACGATTGAGAGGTTGACAAATGGTTTCCTGGTTAATCAAAGAGCAAGAAGAGTGCGCACCCGAAGAGCCCCAAATAAAACAGCGAACGAGCTTTTCAATTTCTTTGCAGACGCCTATCGGAAGCATGGAGGTTTGCATGAAATAGATTTGAATGGAGGATAGAACCGGTTTGGCCAAAGTGATGCGACCCGCAGTGGAGAGAGGACGGGCTACCCCAACGTTCAAGTAAGCCTCTCATTTTCTCGATAATAAAAGCATAATCAGCACGACGGCTCCTTCCATGATGCACTGGGACACCTAGGTACTTGCCAAGCTCTGTTACTTGTTTGAAACCCAGGCGATCACGGATGACTTCCTTCAGCTGAGTGCTTGTGTTAGGCGAGAAATAGATGGTGGTCTTCCTTTTGTTCACTCGATGGCCAGAGTAGTGTCTGAAATTTGCCAGTGCCGAATTGATGGTGTCAGCATCGAAGATGTCCGATTTGGCATAGAGGATCAGATCATCTGCAAAAAACAAGTGAGAAAGGTGATAACCATCTTTGGAAAAGCGGAAAGCCTCCCAAATTTGCTTATTAACACGATCAGATATGCAGTGGCCCAAACGCTCAATTGCCAAGACAAATAGATAGGGAGAAAGGGGATCGCCCTGTCGAATGCCCCGCTCAGGATGAAAGGAAGCAGTGAGAGAATCATTCCATTGGAGCTGGAAGGATGAAGTAGTGATGCAGTGCATAATGATGCGAATCAGATTTGGCAGAAATCCGAAAGTAAGCAGAGTGTCATGAATAAAGCCCCAGCGAAGTCTGTCGAACTCTTTCTCCAAGTCAACTTTGATGGCCATCCAACCTTTATTTCCTTTGGAGAGCTCATAGAGTGGATTGCTTCCAGACTTAAGATAATGTTTTCAGTAATAGAATGACCAACTATGAAACTTGTCTAGTTTAGTGAGATGATGGTAGGCTTAACGGGCTTCAGGCGCCACATAATAATTTTAGTGAGCAATTTGTAGATAACAGTGCAGAGACTGATGAGACGAAAGTCTGCAAACATTTTCAGGCTCTCAATATTTGGTATAAGAACGATGACAGTTTTGTTCAAATTCGGATCAAGGCTGCCACCATTGAAGATTCCCTGAATACAAGAGCAGACTGACTCGCCAATAATTGGCCATTGTTACATTATTCGAAGCATCTATAATCGTTGTTGTGTTGATGATTGAATGTTAGACAATACGAGAGGAACATTGGTCGCCATTAGAGTTCCATGGATGGAATTAGAGTTTCTTTACTTCCACGTCAATTCATAAATGACTTACCGATGATTGTTTTGAAACATAAAGAAAATAAAAGAACCAGATGTATACAACTGCAACCAAACAGTCATTAGAATATTAAGCAAAGAGTAGAGAAAATAAAAGAACAGCTATGCAGGCCTTGAGATAATTTGGCCCTAACAACCATTGTTCTTTATATAGCCCCGGATTAATCTGATGGATCAACACTATAAGAATCATTCTTAACAAGTTGAATGAATCTATATGGTTGGCATTCCTCTTTTTTTGGTTGTACTAATCGCACTCATTCATTTTGTGTATTCTTCTTTATGAATTTATCTATTTGGTCAAGTCTGTTGTTTTTTCTTTTCCTGTTACATGCAATCCCATTGTTTTGAAATTTGAACTAAGGACTAAACTCCTATAGGGGTACAGATTCAACGAAATTAGAAGTCATTTATGATTAGATGAGGGACTAAAGAAACTCCATTAATGGTACATGGCAGGTTCAAACTACGTACAGATGAACCATCGGAAATTCAAGAGTTCTCTTTATTCAATTTTCATTACTGCTAGAACAAACCTCTCCATATAAAGCATGCATAACTGGTTTGGGATTCTCTACAATATTTCACTTTATATTATATTTCGTAGAATACCATTTCATTCATGGCAACCACCACTGAAACCACAGTTAGCTTGAAGCTTCTGATAGATTCAAAAGGGCAAAGGGTTCTATATGTTGAAGCTGGTAAAGATTTTGTTGATTTTCTATTTAACATATTGTTATTGCCGGTTGGAACTGTTACAAGGCTGCTAACAAAGCAAGGCATGGTTGGATGCCTTGGGAACCTTTACCAGAGCGTTGAGAACCTGGGTGATGCATACATTCAGCCCACAACAAACAGGGACACCTTGCTGAAACCAACATGTTCTTCAAACCTGGCAACCAATGGTCCTCTCTTGTTGCCTAACATCCACTCATCAACACCACAAGGATTATATCGATGTTCATATCAGTATGGTACCAATTGTCGTTCGTATTATACAAATGACGCCACAACTGCTTGCCCATCTTGCAGCAATGCCATGAACACCCTTGCAACATTTGTGAACTCCAAAAATAAGGTTTCAACTGCATCATCTGCAACAAATGAGGGTGGTTATGTGAAAGGGGTCGTTACATATACGATTTTAGATTATCTGACAGTCACACCGATGTCAACTATTTCAAGCATAACTATGCTCAATAAGTTCAACGTCAAACAAGTTGATGCTTTGGAAGAGAGTTGTTCATATAGGCATGAATGAGGTGAGCTTCAGTTTATTACAAAGCTGCTGTAATAAGAACATGTTTAATTGCTTTTGTCTGGTTTTCTGTTTCAGGGTGTGGAGCTATTGAAGGCATCGATGCAGTCCAAGACGGTGCTCACTGATGTATTTCTTTCCCAAAAGGCCGGGAAGAAGTGTTATAAGTGATTGAAATGCCAAAGACTTGTGCTGTTGGTTAGGTGTTGCTGGTTTGTTCACAAATTTACAAAGTGTCTGCAGTTGGCTGATCCACAGGAACTTGTAATTATCTTTTATTGCTTTCAATGTTGTCTATGAAGTTAAAACTATTATGAAATCTGGCGTTTATCATATATGTTGATGGTGCAACATAGTGTAAGACTAATGCTTTAAAACAATTGATGGCTTGGACTCATCAGAACTTTTACCAATTGAAATTATGGATCAGTATAATATAATGGATTAAAGCAATGGTCATTCACCATTTGCCTATTTGTCCAAGCTTTTTTATCATTACTTTATGCACCAACTTCACCAATCACCATTTTAATTGAAAAGCTACATATAAATTCACCATTTAACTTCAAAACTATTACTAATCAGAAGAATAATATGTGACAAAAGCCAGATAACAACTTAGAAAGGATTTGAAAAGGAATCTGTAACATTATTGAGGTTCTTCTTCTTCTTCTTCACCTGTTTAATAATAAGGCTTGATTTAGGAAACTCTTTAGCTTTTAATTATAAATGTAATAATTGGTTATTTTCTCTATTATTTTAATGTGTTAAACAAATTGTTCATTTATAACAAAAACACCTTTTAGGTATGGTAGGAGACAAAGATGAGCTCTCTAGGATATGCAGAATATAGAGTCCCCACTTGCTTTCCCACTGCTTTACCACTGCTTTCTTTTTTTAAACACAAACTATGACCAAGTTTGGTCAAAACTATTCAATCAATCATTATATTTAATGACTAATTCTACTTTAGATTTAATCTAATTCCTTAAACAACTTGTTTCCTTCCTTTTCCCTATTTCTTCATCTTCTTGCTAAAAGTTTTCAAATGGGTTGTTTCCCTTGTGGTGGAAAATCAAACCAAAATGGAAAGAAGCAGCTTCCCATCAATAATAACTCCTTTGATCATCAGATCCCTTCTACTTCAGGTTCTTATTACTCTTATGTTCCCCTGACAACATATAAAGATTTGATCTTTGAATAAAATGTTAAGTGAATATTGATTTGAGTTTGACCCATTTGTTTAATTGTTTCAACTTTTTGTTAAATTTCTGGGTTTTCATTGTTCATTGTGATCTGATATAGGATTTCAATGGCCTTGACATGGATCTTCTGTATTTTTATTGTGACAGTAGAGAAGCTGAAGGTGAATTCTGCACCAAATGCAAAGAAGGATGGTGAATCCGATCACATTGCAGTACGTACTTTCACTTTCCGTGAATTGGCTGCTGCGACTAAGAACTTCAGAGCAGATTGCCATGTTGGTGAAGGAGGTTTCGGCCGAGTTTATAAAGGGCTATTGGAGAGCACTAATCAGGTATTGTGTTGTTGTATGGCTTTAATTTAATATCGTTGGTCGCAACCCGATTTCTCCCATGTACGACAGTAGAGTACACGAGGATTAAGCATGACTTTGTCCCTTGTTTTTCATAGGTTGTGGCAATCAAGCAGCTTGATCGTAATGGACTGCAAGGGAACAGGGAATTCCTGGTTGAAGTGTTGATGTTGAGCATGCTTCACCACCCGAATCTCGTCAACTTGATCGGATATTGTGCCGATGGAGATCAGAGACTTTTGGTTTACGAATACATGCCATTAGGATCTTTAGAAGATCATCTACATGGTATGAACATGTACTCCTGACTAGGATTTCTGTTGCATAATCGAATGTCATGCTTAGTCTTCGTTGCTTCTATATCAGATTTGCCTTTCGACAGAAGGCAGCTCGATTGGAATACAAGGATGAAAATAGCTGCCGGCGCTGCAAAAGGTTTGGAGTATCTGCACGACAAAGCTAACCCGCCTGTCATATATCGAGATTTAAAATGCTCAAACATTTTGCTCGGGGAAGGCTATCGTCCGAAGCTATCTGATTTTGGGTTGGCCAAATTGGGTCCTGTTGGAGATAATACTCATGTGTCCACTAGAGTGATGGGGACCTATGGATATTGTGCTCCGGAATACGCAATGACCGGTCAGCTTACGTTGAAATCGAATGTTTATAGTTTCGGGGTTGTTCTGCTCGAAATCATTACAGGAAGGAAAGCTATCGACAACTCTAGAACCAGCGGTGAGCAAAATCTGGTTGCCTGGGTAAGATAACTATCACTTGCTCATTCACAAAGTGTTTAGAAGTTGGTATATTGAATAAGTACACAGGTGGCTGAAAGATTAACTTATAGCAGTAGCCTTTAAATTGTTAAATATTCGATATGAGAACGAGAATTATTTGATCATTTAGTCTTAATAACATCCATGTTTGAGCTTCAATGAGTACCAAGAAAGTAAAACGAGAAAGAAGCATAACGATCCTTGTGAGTCGTTTTCGTTTCCTTTCCTATTCTGTAAATGTATGAACCTCTTATGAGATTTGGATTTTGTTTTACAGGCACGTCCCCTGTTTAACGATAGGAGAAATTTTGCACAAATGGCTGACCCTTTACTTCAAGGCCAATATCCAGTGAGGGGCTTGTACCAAGCTCTAGCTGTGGCTGCAATGTGTGTTCAGGAACAGCCGAATATGCGGCCGCTTATAGCGGATGTAGTGACTGCACTCACTTATCTTGCTTCTCAAAAGTATGATCCCGAAACTCGGTCGGTTCAAGGTCCCCGCACAGGTTCTTCAACTTCGAGAATGAGAAGGGAATGATAATAGCTAAAGGGAACTCAGCACTGTCATACGAATCTAATCCATTGGCGGCTGATGATGACATCAAGAAACAAGAAGTTTATATGTTTGAGATTTAACGGCCAAGCCACCATTGATAGCGAAATTTAGCAAGTCAAGATGGCAATCACGACGTTCATCCTCGCCGTGTCTGATGCACCCGGAGTTTTTCCCCGTGACACGCTTCTGCCATGTCCTCTTCTCTTCAGTTTTGTCCAAATTCTTTGCGACATTGCTGGCAATGCTAGATTATATATTATAATTTGTCTACTTGCTAGATTTTGCTTGCAGAAAATTTCCCCCCAGAAAACTTGCAATCTGAATATATATATATATATATATATATATATATATATATAGATCTTCATTACCATAACAGCTGAGCCATCTAAGTCATAGATTTGCAGATTCCTTGTGTTTCACCTATATATTGCATGCATGCATACATACATACATACATACATACATACATACATACATACAACTATTCAAGTAGTGTTAATAATTATAGATCAAAGCAACGTCGTTGCCTACTTATGTTATGTGACCTGATTTCTTTAGCAACTCTTGATTGACACACCTTCATCAACATTACCCCATTTCCTTCTTGTGTCTGCAAATATTTCTACGAAGAAATAGAAACGAAAAACGAATCAAGCTCGAGAAACACCACTCAGACTCGGCTGTCGATGCCGTTCGACATGAGTTACGCTAAAACAATAAATGCGACGGTCGATATTATAACGTATGGGCCTCAGCACATGTTGTTTCCGGTGCCAACCAACGGTGACGTACAACGGCCGGAGAAAGGGCAGGAAGAGTTGGATGCCACATGAAGCGTACCTTCATCCTGCAGGAAAAATCGGAAGGCAAATAAATTAAGAAAATGGTATGGCTTATACATTTATTATCGGAATCTGTGATCTTTCAATAATATTATTTTCAAATTTTAAAGTTAAATTCATAAAAGATGAATAAAGTTTAATTTAATTCAATTCAATTTGAATTTTATACATTCAATTCAACTTAAAAAAGTCAAATAAATTTAAACGATAGAATATGACTTGCCAACTCGACTAACTCTAAATTTTTTAACTCGAGTCAACTCAATTGACTCGAATATTCATCTATAATTTCTCGTATCCCTAATTCCTATGTCATTTTAATTTTAAGTCCATTTTGATCGAATTTAAATCATACAAACCTCTAACACTATAGAATACTTATATAAAAAAGTATTAATATATCTTATATGATTATAAATATTATTAAATTAGACTAATCCACACTATAACAATTAGATTTGAACGAAAACATAACTTCGAAAAAAATATTAAAATAAGACCCGACAATTCAACTAATTCAAGAAAAATTTAACTCGACTCAAGTCGATCGAATACTCGACCCTAGAATTCACTCCATAGAAATACAATGCAACTCACCAGTGTGTACAAAAATATACGAATGGTAACTAAGATTAGAAAAATGCATCACAGAAGCAAAATTATTAGTCATCACAATTTAATGATGGAACAAACAATTAATGATTATGAGTGAAAAATATTATAAGGATGCAAAAGAAGGCTATGTATGCAGGTATTAACATGGCAAACCTGCAGTTCTCTCACTCCTTATCTTGACCTTCGGTTCCGTTTGTTTCCTTGTCATTCGTGTCCTTGCCGTTCGTTTCCTCATCGTTTGTTTGTTTCCGTTGGATTTCGGTATTTCGACCCTCGCTAGGTGGTGGCTTCCCGTCATCTGGGTTATCGACATTATCCGGCTTTCCCTGTTTTGTTCAATCGAACTTATCATTCAATCTTGGATTAATACATTTTATGAGATAAAGTTTATGGTAACGGGACGAAAAGTATTCTAATAGAATCCGCTTTTTTTTTCTTCTCTTAGCTGCTGATTCCAGCCCAACAGTTTAATGCAGAAGAGAAATCACGCGATCATCCATAAACTTATAATTACTGGAAGAAAATTTCTTACGAGTAAATACATGAATGCTAACCTTGTTTTTGTCAACCCAGCCAAGTACGAATGGTCGAGAAAGTAAACTAATCCTTCGTGCGGGGATTTCTTGTTGGGGCTCTTGATTGCTTCGTGCTGGAGAATCGGGATGCGATGATCTGCAAGCTTATATTTATTTGAAGTGCCGAACAGACCAACTAAAACCATTTCACCAAAGAGAGGATTTCAAATTGACAAAGGGTTGATAACGTACCGCGGAGAAGGTTGTACTTTACTTTGTCCAGACTGGTACTGTAAGGTAGCCTCCAACATAGATTCTGCCATTACCACTCTTTTCTCCATTTCAGCAAGCGAAGCGATGGCATCTTCGTACTTTTCCTGCATTAACATAAAAAGCCAATAGCAGATAATGAACCGGATAAAAACACGTACGATATTTGCATAATTGCTCCCCGTAAAATAATATAAGAACTCAAAAACAATGTTTGTCACACCCCCCCCCCCCACACAAAAATAAGGGTATGTTTAAGGGGAAATATTATAGGGAGAAGGAAAAGAGGATATTGCAAAATTTCTACACTAGAGTACATGGACTAATATTGTTTAACAGCTTGCAGATTCCGAAATATTTTCTTGTTTGCAAAGACATTGGTTCCCTACGATGATTAGTTAAAAACATCATAAAGGAATTATTGCTACCGGAAAATATTTCCTGATGAAAGTTGCATGGCAAAACAAGAGGTTTGATCACGATGAGTACCTGAAGCACTTGAGCAGCATATCTTTGTGCGGCAGCATCTTGCTCGGCAAATCTGCGAGCATCTTCTGTCACCCTCTGATCTTGCTCTACCCTCATTAGGACCTATGTAATGCATGACAGATCTTAATAATCATCAAGTCACGAATGAGAAGAGAAGAAGATGATCTTCCACTAATTGAACATGAGGAGATGTGTCAAACCTGAAGCATTGCATTTTCTTGTTCCTGCTTCTGAGAGAGTGCCGTACGGAGCTCAGCAGCCTCTTGCTCTAGTTGCTCCACCTAAAGATCATAATCAGATTTAGTGTAAGTGTAAAACACCCAGAAACTTTAATGTCAGCAAAACACCAAACATTCAAAGCATACAAGGTTGAAAGCCAACTGTCTAATGTCTATCACTTATTCGGGCATTGGTCTCGACAACTTTCTAACACAGATTTCTTGCAAGTTGTAGTTTAATTAAATTGTCTACTCTGTAGTAACAGTGATGGAATGCACATAGAGATTCCAACATGCAGTCCACTACGAAGCCCGAGGTTCCAGGAAAACCAGGCAAACTAGTCCCAGGCATTGGAATGATTTGTAGTTTAATAATGGTCCTAACTCCAAAGAATAAGATAGAAAATCAACTGTGAATTTCGGCAGGGAAAAAGTCAGAAGACAAACAATCATATATTACTATTCATGTCAAAGGAAGTGTCACAAATTAAGATATTCCATTTTACCCTAGCACTTAATTGCCGCCGGTTATCTTGCTTCACCATCTCCATCAAGGCTGTCTCCAGCTCCTCCGATCTGATACAAATGAGAAAGAAGCAAGATTGTCAGCATCACATTCATCAAGGTTCCATGGAAGAAAGATTATTTTGAATTTCAGCATAAAATGCAAAGATTAAGTAGGCAAGTATGTTCAATTTATAACCCATTGTAGTGTAAGCTTAGATATGTCCATGTATAAGATAGGTAAAGAGGCAAGCTAATAATATACCCGAAATCAAAAATAAAATTCATGGCCTCTATCACAGTCTATAGAAAAACATTCAAACCATAGAGATGATATAAATTTAACCTGAGGACAGCTGATCTTTTCTCTTCCAGCAACTTGCACAACTCAACTTTTAACCACACAACCTGCGCACGATTGTTTATAACAAATTAAGAATATCATAACGTCATAAAACAAGCCAATAAAAGGGAAGAATAGATTAGGATATGGTCTATTCATAAAATAGGCGAATAAAACATCGTCCTTACAAGGATGTATGAATTAGGGTTTATGGTTTAGAACATAAATTAGGTTTAGTGGATTAGATTTCAGGAATCAGGGTTTGCAGTTTATAAATTTGGGCTTATGAATTAGGGTTCTTGATTTGGGCTTAAAATTGGGGTTCATAAGGTTTAGGAATTATATTTAGGGTTTGTGTTTTATGAATTAGGTTTTATGGTAATATAAATTAGGAACTATAGTTTAAGGCTTGTTTTTAAAAAGCGTAAAGCGCCCTAAAGCGCCTAGGGTCCTAGACGCTGAAGCGCTAAGCGCTAAGCGAAAGCGCTCGCTTTATGCACACGAAGCACCAGAAAGGCCGAAATTCACAAAAAAATACAGAATATTTTATCTTATAAATACTTAAATATCAAATTGTCAATGCATATATTCAAAAATTATAAGTACTTAAACACCAAAATACAATTCTCAATTTACTTATAAGTTATAAACACTTAAATAATTATATACCATTAACCATACGACTATACGAGCATATTAATCTCAAAAGATGGTCTACACCAAAAGTAGTCTAAAGTGAGATGAACAAAAGTATTTTTCTAAACCCTCAATTCCTTATAAATAAAAAGCCTCTATATCGCCATCGTCATCAACTCGGACAACACCATCTCCTTCATCACTAGACACTCCAATATCTTCTTCCATCTCATCTTCATCAACTAAGCATCTACGAGACGGTCTACTAGAGATAGGATTTTTTACACTAGCCCGCCTAAACTAAAAGCCGATCTAAGCCTGATAATCTAATAGCCCGCTAAACCCTAAACAAGCCCAAAAATCGTATCTGCTAAAGCCCAGAATCATATCTTCTAAACTCACGATTAAGCGCCGATTAGTGCTTTTCTAAAAGCGTTGCAAAAGCGCCGATTACTACCGCTTAATGAATTCGTAGTGCTTTTGCTATGCTGAAGCGCTAGGGGCCTCGCTCGAGTCGCTTAGCGCTTTAATTGCGCTTAAGCGGCGCTTTTTTAAACACAGGTTTAAGGATTAGAGTTATGAATTAGCTCTTAGCCTCCTATGTCTTTTGCAACTCCATAAAAATCCAGCAAGGCACACCCATATATAGTCTCTTATGTTAACAAGGTTGAAATTTTCAATGTATATGAATTCAATGCAACAAATTCACTCAGGCAGCTAAATGGACCTATCCATTAAAAGATTTTAAACCAAAGCAAGATAATAGCCCTTATGTGAACTCTGATAACAATTTGATATTCCCTTGGTAATGTTTTTAAAATAGAATCTATAAGGCTCTAAGAATTTGATTCATGCAACAATCTCACATATGAATCTAGCTTCTCGTTTCTTTTTTGAATTTCAAACCTAGTGAGAGAAGCGGTTCAAGGTGATTTTATTTTCATCCATCATTTCATCTTTACCATCGTCGTCTGCCGACGCTAATCATCACCGTCCGCCGACCGCCGCCTGCCGTCCGCCGCCACACTCCGTCATCCGTTCGCCGCCGTTTTTCCTCAGGATGTTCGTTTCCTCACTCTGATTCCATTTTCGAGGTTAGTTTTACGAGAAAGTCAGTCTATCGGCGTTGATCTAAACGTCGATTTTCACCGATTTTCGCCGCCGTCCGTCGCCAGTTCTCCGGTTTACCACTGGGCTCGCCGTACACATGAATAAATCCCTTCTATACGAGCGTCCAGACTCGTTGCCAATCTCTGTGAATCAGTCTTCGAACGTTTTGTCATAAACAGAACAAGCCAAGGGTCTGTCAAGTTGTTCTCCCGATCTAATCTATTTCTGAGGGTTTGGTTGAAAGACAACTATGTAGTTTCATCTTTCCTCAGGTTCAAGTTTCTACCTATTGGACTCTCTTCATCACCTCCACCCTTCTCTTCTTCGCCTGCAGTCACTACATTCACCACCGTCGGGCGCGCGCCATGGACTCTGTCATGTACCGAGTTGGTTAAAGCATGGTTGTTTTGATGTGTTTAACCTTGACTCTCATTCTGGTTTAAGGAAAATTCAGACCCAAGTTTTTTCGGAAGTTCAAGGACCGTCCCATTCAAGAATTGAACCATTAGAAATTCCAGTTGCCTGAGAGATTCTCCAGAAGGTGCAGAAAAATCAGTTTATAATCTCATGCCGGGTGTTGGACTTTTTTCCAGCAGAGACCTCCAGTCCAAGCTCCTCCGCCCTTTGCAGTTGCGCCTTCTTCGACATCTCACCCTTCTCATCATGACGAGGTTCGTACGATCTTCATTATGGGTCTGCCTGAAGATGTCAAAGAGAGAGAGCTGCAGAATCTACTGAGATGGCTTCCAGGTTTTGAAGCTTCGCAAGTGAGCTACAAGGGAGAAAAGCCTAAGGGTTTCTCAAATGCAGAATTTGCAGTTGCTGCCAAGGATGCCCTTCAGAAAATTGTTTTTGAAGCTAAGTTGAAGTCTTTTCTGCACATTGAAATGGCTAGGAAGAATCTTGTTGTTAAAAGATGAATAGTTACAGCTTCTGATGGTTTAGACAAGTATGGATGTGATCCTGTTCCTCCAGTACTGCCAATGCCAAATTCAGCTTCTGTAACATCTCCTAGTATTCATGTGTCTGGTAAAACTGGGTGTTGCGATGGAAAATCTGCAGTAGATGGTGTACTCAAGGGAACCAAGGAGTCCATCACAAAGGGGTGCAGTAATGACAAGTATGGATGCTACACGTTATTTGTTGAAAATTTACCAGAAAAGATCCATTGGAAGAGGTTTGGATCTTTATTTTGCTCCCACGGTCGGGTACTTGATGTTTTTATTCCAAATAAAAGAAATTCAAAAGGAGTTCACTTTGGTTTCATTCGCTTCGCTTCAATCGAAGAAGCAAGGAGAGCGACCTCAAAAATGAATGGCTCTTATATCGATGGTAGCAAAATTGGTGTTTTTATGGCTAAATTCAAACCTCGTCATTCCTATTGGAGAAAGTCTTCGACAGGTGTTCTCCGCAAGTCTGGCATGGAAGATGATTCGAGTAAGAATCATTATAAAGTTGAAGGCGTTATAGATGAAGAAAAACTTCAGGTGTTGAGCAATTGTCTAGTGGGGTGGTGCAAAGACTTTATCAAAATCGGTCATCTCGCTAGACAAATGCATGCAAAGGGCCTCACTGGCTTCTCCTTAATGAGAGCTGCTGGAAATGTGGTATTAATGATTTTCGAAGACTCTGCTTCATTGAGAAGTGTGAAGAATGATAAATCAGAGACTCTCGTAGAGTGGTTCTCCATAGTCGAAGCTTGGTCAAAGAGTTTGATATTGGAGTGTCGCCGAGTATGGTTAGTTTGCGAGGGTGTTCCGTTTCACGCATGAAATTGGGATACTTTCAAGAACATTGCTGATAGTTGGGGTCAGTTGCTAGCAATCGATGAAAGCTGTCAGTCACCATCATCCTTTGATCGGGTAAAAATTCAAGTCCTCGCAAAGCCTGGTGCGAGAATTGATGCGACGTTGGAATTGAAGGTTGGTGACAACTCCTTCAAGATCATGGTGCATGAGATAGAGCCTTCATTCAAGCCAAACTCTTGGGCTCCTAAAGAAGACGAATCTCATTAGATCTCGTCTCTCCAATTGTGGTTTGATTTAGTTTATATGGTTGTAGGTGTTGCTTCTCTTTTATATTAGATCTCGTTTCTCCAATTGTGGTTTGATTTAGTTTATATGATTGTAGGTGTTGCTTCTCTTTTATATTATGTTATCTTGCGTTGTTTCTCTTTTATATTATGTTCTCTTGCGTTGTTTTAATCCTATTGATGGAGGTGTAATTAGAAATAGGTGATTCGACTGTGACTTTGGATGAGGTTATATGAGGTTAAGGTGTTTGTTGTAATAGTGTATATCACCATAGGAGGATATTCCGGTGTTATCTTTTGTATTGGGTATTATTATTAATAAACTTTGAGGTACTCTTTTCTTCCCTCCAATGTTCGTTAACATACTTCTAAGTATGTGAACGGATACGAAGGGAGTTTTTAATGAGACCTTCAACTTCTATAAAAAAAAATCTCACATATGAATGCAGTAAGTCAATAGAGTAACTTTTCAATTAACCCCAAAATGCAGGACACATCTGATTTTTTTGAAAAATCCAGGTTTACCATATCCATTGCATTAAACTAAGGGAGAGAGAAGAAAAGCAAAAACACACTCTGGATATAAGTTTAGTCCATATTCAAATTATCTACGTATTTCTACTTCACATGTAAAACAGAACATGCAAGTGGTCATGTAAAGAGGCTTATTCTACAGGCCAAGAAACAAAGATATCAACTCAGCCAAAATGCAACATTAAACAACCTAATATTATTTTTTTTAAAAGGTAAATGCATATCCTACCTGCTCTTGAAGATCAGGAACAGCATCCGTGTCAGCATCTCCTGTCAAACTAATAAGAACTTCGTCAGCATTAGTGGATCCAGACTCAGAACGAGAGAGATCCCCGTTAGTTTGTGAATCAACCAATCGTTCTGCCTTATTTGTTTCCACAAACATGGACTTTGGATCCTGCTTAAAACTATATAGCTTAGATGCTAGGCCCTGAGAATCCCTCCAAGCTTGAAGCCCCTTTGATCTTTCCTCAACTGCAGCTATTACAGCTGACCGATGCTTCTCTCTTAAATCGTGTAATCTTTTCTCAGTTACATTTTGGTATCCCATACAAGCTGTCAATACAAGTTGACTGCTGTCAAATGTTGACCCAGCCAATGACTGTAGCAAAGTAACAGCATCTCCTGCATCCTTAGTTGTAACTAGTGCGGAGCCTGTTAGAAAATTAAGTTAAATTGTGTTAGATTAAAACAACTCGTTGTCACTTTTTCCAAGCTTCAAGCACCATAAAGATATCATTAAAGGCATTGCTCTTATGTTTTATCCCATACCATATAACTCCATTAAAGCAAGCGCTGTCCTACAAACCATGACACGATTTCCTTCATAAAGGAGCACATCCCAGACTCGAAGCACTGTTTTAAAATCAGAAGTCCATCAGGAAGCAGTTATTAAGCACAGGTGATTCCAATTATTAAATGATAGTGCAGAATCAGTAAATTAGCAACAAAAGTACCAATTTTCAAATAGTAAGATAAATTGATCAACTAATTAATCAGAGCTAGAAGACACAGCATGAAAGCTAACCACTTTCCCATGGAAGCATGTTCATGAAAATGGAAAGGAACCACGGTCCAGTAACCCATGCCACCTGCACTCCTAGATAATCTAGATGATTGACTGCATAAACAAAAAAATGCTGTTCATAAACTGCCCAAAAAAAGCAAAAGAAATATATCACATATGAATTTTCATACATGGGACAAATATTGAAAAAATACAGACCCAATTTAGGAAATCTGTCGCGCATCAACTCCTCAAAAACAACTTGGTCAACCTAACAAAAGGCTATGAGTTATCAGGACAGCTATCTAAAGTTTAACTAATCCACCAACCACTTTGACATTTTTGAGAAAGCCGATTAGCGTAAATCAAATAACAAGGAGAAAAAGAGTTGGGCAAAATATTACCTGGGACTCAATCATTTCCTCTGAGTAATAGCCATCAAAATAGTCATCAATAATGCCCACCAAAGTCCTGAAATATAGACCACAACTTAGAAGAACACAAAGCCAATAGTGCTATTACTATAAATGCCATGCTTGGCCCAAAAAATTAGAGGATCCCACCAAATAAAACATAAGAAAGGATGTAAAACAGAATGAAATCATGTTTCTGCAGCAGAATATGCTCAGATCTTTAACCTTAAAAAAATCAACAGATAAAAAGAAGAAAAATGGATCTGAAAGAAATTTCTCAACTGTCTCCAAACCTACCAGAAGGCATTTTCTTCAGGCATCAAGAGGAGTAACAAGGCAGCAAAGAAATTCATGGCCTGCATGAGAAAAACACTTATCCCAATAAAACCAAAACACAGGAAGCATGACCATAGCTGAAATATTTAAGAACCTAATACCTGACAGTAGCCAACAGAGGGGTTATGTCGAGCATAAGCTGTAAGCAACCGTCTCAAAGCATTTCTACCATCATCATCCAGAGCAGGGTGACCTGGGAATGTTCGAGGCAAATCCTGTTTTTAGAACCACTAATAGATTAGAAATCTCAAATTAATAACAAAAAGAAAAAGGTAGCACCAGATTCTGAAGAAAATAAATATAGAATTCAAAAAACTTCCAATGGAACAACCTTCTCAATCTGTCCTTTCCACTTCTCAGGACCACATACAGGCTCTGTTGTTGAACCCTTACTGTCAGATTGCAAGCTCTGTTGTTCAGTGTTGTTGCCACAGTTAGTTTCGTTATCTAGTAGATCCTGGTAATACTTCTCCACTCTGCGTGCCCTCACACCAACAAAAGCTTGCCAAAGCTGAAATGTCCAATTTCATGAGAGAGAGGAAGTGTGTGTGTGTGGAAAATCAAGAGAGAATAATAGAAGATCAAATAAAATACCTCTCCCCTAAGAGCCATTGGCACTCCCCCACGAACAAGAACTTCGAACTCTTCCTTCCAGGGAAATAAAGATTCTGTAGCAGCTGAATCAGCACTACCACCACCAGTTCTGGTACTTCCACTGCCACTTGTAAGGGAATCCTGAACTGGGTCAGATCTCTCTGCATCATAAAATTCATCATCAGAATCCTCCTCTGATGCTCCCTTTGGGGATCTAGCATCTTCAGTAGGAGTTAACGGCTTTCCTCGACTGGTTTTTTGCTCTTCTTTTGATAGAATCCCTTTCTTCTTTACACGAATACTCATCATATCTTCAATGGCCGAAAGGGTCGGTCGAATTTCAGTCCATATTTGGATCCCGTGAACACTTTTCGCCGGTGCAGACTGCACCTTCTCTTTTTCCGTATCATTCTCAGGCAGGCTATCAGAACCGAACTTCCTTTCAGACAGATCATCTCCTTCAGTGCTCTTCTCTACTACATTTTTCCCGTCTTCAGCAGCATGTGAGGCCTCCTTGCCTTCCTCTGAATATATACCGTTGATTGGCAATTGAGCAGACTCTGCTTGACGTTCCAAGAAATCATTCCACCTATCTGATCTTTCCTCCTCTTCTTCCTAAAGTCATGGAAAGAGACAGGATCTAAAAATATAATTTATCGTAGGTGAACTAATGCCCTTTGATCTCCACTCAGTTGCCCATAAATTAGTTAAAGTAACTATATGAAAGACCTGAACTATTGAGCTTGTTACTGTTCAAGACCCATAAGTATGTGGAAGAGAGACAAGATTGGGGTCTGTACTACAGGAAATGTTTTAAGTCTTCGCAGAATTTATTTGTTCAAGTTATTTTCAGTTTCAGAAAATATCTTGGCGACACATTATCAACCATTTCTAACAAAGCAGAGAGTAAGACGCATTATTCAATATCCACCATGATATATGAGTTGGCAATTTTATCATCCTTTTCCTCGGCAGCCAAACAAAAGGTGATGGTTTAAAATTAAAAAAGGCATAAAAGCAGGAGACCGAGTCAAGAAAAATACCTTGTAGATATTAGCATATTCTCGGTACCTTTGCACATGCTGAGGTCTCACCGCAAATCCATAAGCATCCCTGTCAACATAAGCCTTCATTAACCTCCAAATGTAAAAAAAATAAAAGAACCTCCATAGTTCACACTAACAACAAGTCATTCCAAAACAAAACACAAATAGATAGCAAATATTCCACAACATTCTAAGCAGAAAACTAGCTTAATTTACTCACAATGGCTCCAACAATGACTAACTACCACAACAGTTTAAACAAAACTAGCTTAAAATTATCTTTAATGTTAAATTTATCAAATTCAAATCAAGATAACTCATTGAAAACTAAGCATAGACATCAAACTAAAAGTGAAATAGCTCGTAATTTGATCCAAATACAGCTTAAATAAGCCGTAATCCTTCTCCAATCATTGCTTACATACACTAGTGACTAGACGACAACGTATATTCAATAACATAAATTTCTCTCATTTACTACACAATTTGCTCAAAAATCAACTACAAGTCCACATTCCATGAAATTTTATCAACAAAAGATCACGGACTCCAACGTCCTCAGCTAAAGCTAACATAAATTACTAGCAACCAGCCACCACATTCCTCGATTTACCAAACCAAACTGTGGCCAGTTCAATAAGATCATGACATCTAACTCAAAAATGTCAAAATCTTCAAAACCGAACTTCAATTTACGAGCAATCGTTCTCCAAAGATTTCAGAGTTTACGCAAAAATGCAGCAAAATATTCACATTTTTCCATTCCAATTTGCTCCTAAAATCAAATCACATTCCAGATCATCAAATCCAAATCGAGAATCACGGACAAGAGATCGGGAGTCGAGAACAATCAAAACAGAAGGTTTGGCTAAAAATAAGACAAAAAGGAAGATCTAATCAAAATTAGAATGGATCAGAAAGAGAGATGGAGAGAAATCGAAGGACATGTGGCGAGACGAGAACAGCGTACCTCTTGTGCTCGAAGCTTATAAGGGAGTTTCCGCCTTTGGCGGGAGCTGTAATGATGGCGGTGCCGCCGCCGCCGCCGGCGGATCTCATTTGGTTTGCTGCGGACGTGGACCGATTTGATTGGCCCGTGAAATTTAGGAGGGATGTCGGTGACAAGCCGAGAGGATTTTTCGGAGACCTTTTGTTATATAGATTTTTATAAGCCAATGCAAAAGGCGGAAAGAGATTCGATTTTCCGCTGTTTGGATAACGGGAAAGTGCGAGGGAGAGAGAGAGAAAAAGAGAGTTTAGGTGGGGAAAGTATCACGTGAAACTTTTTTAATATACAACTAAAAAAATATATTGATTTTGTTATTATTTTTTAATAAAATTGATAAAAAAATATTAAAAGTATTATTATTTTTATTGATTTTGTTATTATTAGACGTTTTATCGGTTTTGTTAACATATCTAGCAAAGTGCTACATGTTTTGTTATTTTTTTATCGATTTTGTTATTATTGAGTACTTAACCGGAAATGTTAAAAAACATTAATGTTTTAGGTAGAAATAATAATGTTTTAGGTAATTTTTATCAGTTTTGTTAAAATAATAATAATAAAATCAATAGCGTCTTTTCGTAGTTGTATATCGGTTTTGCATATTTAACGCATGTTCGTCTATTTTTTGTGACACGTTTTAACTTTGCTCTTATGACACGCTTTTACTGTTGTATGGCATGTTATTCATCTACCACTGTGGTATATATGCAATTGTGTAGCTCGTATCTGATTTGTGATTGTTAGTAGTATTTCAGATGTTAGATTCCCTTTTGTGTTAGGTTGTCTATGTATTAAAATCTAATTTGCGAAGTAGCATGTAAGTTTGCTCTGACTCTCTCGTCACTCCTTTATCATATATGAAGCATCTAGCTGGATAGAGACAAAGGAGTATTGTTGACAATTATTGAGTTACTATGGATGATGAACATCAGATTCAAAAAAGGTTTTCGACTAATATTGCACTTGTGAGTTTTATTTTATTTTATGTTTGATTTTAAATTTGTATTTATATAATGTGAGTTATAATACTATAATTTTGATAACCATCAAATTTTTAATATAAAAGGATGAGTTTGGAACATATAAATATTCAAGTGACAATTTTGTAACTTTTAATAGTCGAGTGATTGAACAAATCAACACATTAGTGAAGTGACCATTTTATAACATTTAATAGTAGGGAGCTCAAAAAAGCAGTTCTCTATAGGTAGGGGACCATTCGTATACTTTACCCAAAAAAAAGATAAAGCAGTGGGCGCTTTGTGTTTTGACATTTGTCGTGTTCACAAAATCTATGCTGCTAAACTGTAGCCTAAACTGCGCTTTTCTTCATCGTCCGATCAAGATCGAGTCGCGTCAACTCTTACGCCAACTCCTCGACGGCACGGTCAAGCGCCCGAGTCCGCCATGGCAGCAGCAGCCAACTCACTCCGAGTCGCCGCCGCTCAAATGACCTCCATCAACGATATCGCCTTCAATTTCTCCACTTGTTCTCGCCTCGTCAAAGTAAAGATAATATTCACAATGCTTCCTTTTTTATGTATCATTAATTTGAATCATCTGTGTGAATATTGTTATTATTTTTCGATTCCCTTCGTAGATCAGAGCTTATTCTTTTTTAAAAATATCTTTTTACTCGTTATTTGATCATTTTAAGAAATTGTAGCGAACAATATTTTTCTAAGAATTAGAAGTTGAGAGAAATTTGCATTAATTTGCTCCTATAGTTCTATTACATGAATTTAGTCTTTGATAATTGCATTTTACATTATACACATTTTTGGAAAATGTAATAGGGTTTTAGTGTTTTCATATATATTATTGGGCTGAATTATATTCTGGGTTTGTTTAATTCTGAAGGAAGCAGTTTCAGCTGGGGCAAAAATGATTTGTTTGCCTGAAAATTTCTCCTGTGTGGGTCAGAAGTCTGGGGATAGTCTCTTGATTGCAGAACCTTTAGATGGGCCAATCATGCAAAAATATTGCTCTTTAGCAAGGTACTAGCTTTGATTGCTCTTACTTTCTCTTGGTTTGATTTTAACGTGTATGGCACATTTTTTTCACAATGTTTAGCTTTTGCCTTATCGTAAGTGAACTCGGAGCGCCTGCCGAATATGTGCTTATGACCTGCATGAATTTACTCATTTTTCAAGAAATATATATATATATATATATATATATATATATGGAGAATCATACCTTTACGCTCATATTTGAATTTTTGTATAATACATGTATTTTGGGAAAATGAGAAGTAAAGCAACATAGCTATGTCACTTGAATTCTTTTTGTTTGTTTGTTGAAGTATCCATATCAGACATGAGTATTAAGATTTAACCTTCCAAAAGTCTTTCCAGTGCATGATAAAACTCGGAAAAATTAAACATACCCGTTTAAGAACTCGGAGACATACTTGTATGAATTGGACACTTGCATTCGAGTTTGAGAAATATTCATAATCTGTCACTGCTTGCTTACTGATTACTTTTGATTAAATGTATTGCTTCTTTAAGAGAAGGAAAAAAAAATCAATGAATCATAATTGTCAATTGGATCCTTCTTCACTTTTTTTTACCTTACATTGAACGGCTTTGGTTTAGTATTGGTTATCTGTGCATAATAGATAATTTTGAGTCGTTGCGATTGATTTAGTTGACATGAATGCAGAGAATGTGGCATTTGGTTGTCACTAGGAGGTTTCCAAGAGAAAGGACCTGATGATGCACGCTTGCGAAACACACATGTTATAATTGATGATGCTGGCAACATTAGAAGAACTTATAGTAAGATACACTTGTAAGATGCTTATATTTCTCTGAGATACTGTGGTTTTTTCTTTCCTTTTCAACCAGTAGTATTATAAAACTTACGAGTTAGAAAGGCTCCTGTAATTCGTTGGCTATTGAAATATATTCCAAAGTAACTTCATCTGTGTGTGGGTGTATATATATTTGATATATAAATTAGAGTTTCTTAATTTGATATGAACATTTCCCCTGTTATCTTGTTAATTTGAGCTATTGACATCATGCTCTCGATACATTGGAAGGTTTGATGTGGATGTTCCTGGAGGGGCAGTGTACAAGGAAAGCAGCTTTACTGAACCAGGTGAACTCATATTGGTATACATTATTGGTCCTGTCTGATTTTATATTTCATGATTCTTGCTATGGTTCTGAGTCCTGATGAACATGTAATAGGTGATTCAATCGGTTTGTCTTTCGATATCTTGTGAATCACCCAAAAGAGTATACCAATGATCTTGCTTAAAATACGAGAATAGCATGTTCCTGCATTTTCAAGAGAACAGGCTTTTTTTTTTTTTTGCAAGTGAAAGCTATTTTTAAAGCTCTATCTAATCAATACTAGCATGCTTCCAGGGAAGGATATTGCTGTAGTAGACAGTCCTATTGGACGTTTGGGATTGACGGTCTGCTATGACTTGAGATTCCCAGAACTTTACCAGCATTTACGGTTCCATCATGATGCACAGGTGGGATCAAATCTCTACAGTCTACACCTTCCCGTAAGGACATTTTTATTGGTGTTGTAAAGTTTTCTTCATGTAATATGTTTTGCAGGTCATTTTGGTACCTTCAGCTTTCACCCCTGTTACCGGTCAGGCACATTGGGAGGTCCTTCTTCGTGCTCGTGCAATCGAAACTCAGTGCTACGTACAGAATCCATTTCCATTTTCCACCGCACTTTTACTTAAATATTTTTCTTTATAATGATAAATTTAGTTCATTCTTCCAATCTTTTGTCACGTCTTGTTATATGCTTCTTCCTTTCGGAGAATGACAAGAAAAATTCATTATTAGGTCATTGCTTCTGCTCAAGCTGGAAAGCATAGCGAGAAAAGAGAAAGCTATGGTGAGACTCTAATAATCGATCCATGGGGCACGGTAGTTGGCCGAGTACCAGGTTAGATGGAGTTCCCCTTTTGGTAATTGAATTTCGTGTGATTATTTCTTATGTACTTGGACTCGGGTGTGGTTGCTCGATACAAGTATGTGTCCGAAATGAGTTTGTGATGACAATTTAAGTGACATTATTTTTTTTTCAGATCGATTATCGACCGGGATCACTGTAGCTGACATTGATTTCTCATTGATAGATTCAGTGAGGGGAAAGATGCCAATTGCGAAGGTTAATTCCCAACTATTTCTTTTAAATTTCCTTTGACATCAAATGCCAATTGCAAAAGCTGTATCTCATTATATGGGTTTGCCGTTATTTTTCAGCATCGGAAACCATTTGACTTCTGGAGACCTACAACACCCTTATGATTTTCGAAGATGATCGCCTTTTATTATCGTTCACATGTAAGTCAAAGCTACTTCAAATCCCTAATGCACTCAAATGAAGGCATGTTAGTTCATTAATGTCTTCAATGGTTTCTCCATGGTTTCAAAGGATTATTATTGAACTCTTTCTTATACTTTTCTTGCGGCACTATACCATGGGGATTCTTTTATGTAATAAACATGTGATAAAGAACATAAACCGGTCTGGTTGTTTCAACCGGTACTCGATGGTCTTTAACAATTTGATATCGGATTCAGTTTTTTAACTTTATACACAAGGATGACAACAATTTAACAAAACCAGATACTGGAAAATTGAAAAGATGTCATCTGGGTTTATCATATGAACTACCAACTACATTCAACTGGCTTGACCTTACAACAAGGAAGAACTAAAGTAACATTATTGTAATTAATCCGGTCGGTCCAACCAGTAATACAGTCTTAAGTCTTAACAGTTTGACCTTGCTTGGAACTCAAGAAACAAGTTGGACAAGTCTTTTGCTCGAATCAAGAAATGGATTTACACAACGATGAAAATCAATTCCCAAACTTAAACTTAAAAGGATTAACATCTGGTTTTACGGGATGAAAACCAACTACGTACAATCTGTATGACTTTCAAGAATCAAACTGTGTCCCATTTTCACTTCTTTCCTCACCCAAGAAAAAGAAAGAACAAAAAACAACCTCAACAACACGAATTCGAGAGTATAAAGACTTGTATAAAACTATGAAACAATATGTTCAGTCACCCGCCTTTCGGCAGATCATTCCAGGAGGAATTCCCGAGTCAAATCCGGACTTCCGAGAAGGTTAAAAGTCTTGTTGTTGCTTAAAGTGTCTTTCAATATTGTAATTTGGCCTTCTTTTAAAAGTACATCCTCATCCAAAGTTTCAATCTTCTTTTTCAATACTTCCACCTCTGAGT